CTTTTAATTTTAGACCCAAGTATATTTTGATGCTAATACTTTTGTACTTTTAATTAAGTACAATTTCTAATGCATGACTGTATTTCTACACTGTAATATTGCTAGTATGTTTATTTCAACCTGGTGTTATGTCCAATAAATGTGGCCATTGTGATGCAATTGGTCGTGCTAACTTGGCACGAAACATGATTTTCAGTCTGACTGAAACTAAAAACCGAAAGTAAAAAATAATAGCGAATAATTATCATCATGCGAAGACATTCTATGTAACTCTTTTCATCCTATTGTGGATTATTATGGTCCATTTAGACTGAAATAGACTATAAAGCAGAGTATGCTTCAGTGCGGGTCTTAGAACTTTAAACCTTTTAACAGTGTGTTTTCAGTTCATAAAAGTTTTTGGTCACCTACAAATGTCTTATTCATCGTTCGATTGTACTTATAGCTCCACCTTCTTGTGTTAATTCTTATTCCAAGAAAACAATACGGAGGCTTTAAAACAAAAGTCCAGAAACCAATGGGGGACATTACAGTGACTTTGTTAACTTTTTATGTACAGTCTATGCTACATATGGAGCAGGTCCTCTTCACTGAGTGGGTCATCACGTTTCTACAGCAGCCCAGAATGGACAAACCAAGCACTGCATCTAGATAGGGACATTCGCGCTTTTGTGGTGGGGGGTTTCCGTCAGCCATGATAGTTTTCCTACAGTTTCGGTTGGTTGCAAACTGCAACCTCACCGCTAGATGGCACCAAATCCTACACACTAACCCTGTAAAATATTAAATTGTTGACTTACTATCTAATGTTACCCTAAAGTTGTGATCACACCTTTCCCACAACACATCCAGCTCAAATTGACTAAGAACAAGCCGGGCTCAATGAAAGTTGGTACGATGGATGACCACTGTATGCTTGTGTTAGCCTAATATAAGTCACACTGCTTTCAATTCAGTCTGTCTACTACTAATGATTAACCTGGAGCTAAACTCATGGGACAGAAGAGGATGTGGAATAAAGGACAAGTGAGGTCGCCACACACACACCCTCACCCGTGATCCCTGGGCCTGGTAGACTGGAAGTGATGACATCAGTTAATGTTACTCCATATGTTTTTCCACACTGTCAGAGACTGTCAAGACTGATATTTTGGCATGGAGAGCGTTACATCTTGAGATTAGTATAGTACTATACTATATAAGTACAAATCCCAGGTCTTCCTTTAATGATACTTAATATATGTATTCCAGAGGGAAACGTTGTACTTTTTAATCCACTATATGTTCTGACAGAGTACGTAGCTGCTTCGAAAATTGATATTCAGAATCATATAACAAGTATGTGAATCATGATAACTACATGTATACAATTTGCATTGTATACAATGTATTTAACTACCAATCAGTGCAGTGAAACAGTTCAAATTTGCTTCACCTTAATCAGTAAAGGTATAACTCACAGATATGGTCACAAACCCTGATTTTTGGAGGAACTGACCATATCAGGAAAGTATATATTGGCCTCAAACCTGGGGGTGAATTTACACTCCAACTACACATGATGTACTGATTATGTATACTGATCATTTTGAAATACATGCTGTATTGTTTTTGATATTTTAATGTACTTTTACTGTCATTCCAGGCAGCCACTGATTTCCATTCAAATGGCAGACTGTTAAAACTTGCCTCAATTTTGTAATCCATCAGTGAAAATCAAGGCTGCTCTCACTTTATTCGACGTAGCATTAAAGTAGTGAGGTGAAGCAGTGCAGGAGTTTAATCTGTAATAAAAAGTGCATCACCACTAAAGCATGGTTAAGATTTTTTATAGTTCTGTTTAGTTCTTTTTAGGCAATCGCAGCAGAAACAATTTTACACAAGTATGCCACGGACGGGGCTTGCACACAGGTAGCAACAAACTCATGCTGCCAGTCACTAACACATTGACTAATGAATCATCAATCAATGAATTACTTTGGCAGTAACCCGTTCCATAGACCTTATATGCTTGAGCGTCACACCAATCATGGCGTTCAACGGGATAGATGCCACCATGAACTGCATTCATGAATGCTCTGATTGATAGATATTGCGTTATTTGTGACAGTTTAGTTTAGTTAAGTTTGAGCAGCTTGCGCCTAGGCCTTGTCCAATGTGCTCCACGCATTGTGGATTTTGGATGCGTTCCCTGACTTTCTCTCTCCCCCTAACCCGCCGGAATTCCCCCCTCAGAAGCTCATGTGCATGCATACTTTCACTCACAAACACTCAATAAAATCTATTCTAAGGCACTGAACAATACAAATAATAAATAAACCATGCACGGTTAACGTTGTGGAAACAGTGGTGGTTAGGTTAAGAAAACAAAAGCACTTAGGGTAAGAAAATACCTCATGGTTTAGCTTTAAATAAATATAACATAACGTAAGCTACGGATGTAACATCATGTGACTCAGTGGTATAGCATCACGTGCCATAATCTGCCCACTGTGCCCACCTCCACTCCCACCCACGAAGCTCCAAGTCTCTGAGGAATGGCAGATATTTCTACAGTTGAGAAACAAATGTCAGGGCAATTAGAAGTGCCAAGTCATGTTATTTTGTTAACCTGATAACCTGTCTGATTGCAGTAGTAATCCTGCAAAATGCTGTACAAACAATTAAGACACTAAATCATAGTCGGGCTCTCTCCATACCCATGCATAATCTTCTAGATTTTGTCCTCGTCTTGGAAAAGAATAAATGTGTTTGACAAATATTGTCTGGAAAGCAGCTCCGTGTACTGCCTCTGCATAAAGGCGGTGACACCAGCAACTACTGCTCAATCTCCAAATCGCCATGTTTAGCCAAAAACTCATCAGCTAAACGATATTCTAATGCGTCACTTTCGATCTGAGCGTTGCATTTTGGACAGACTTAGGTAATTGGTTTAGACACAATGCATGTAACTGGTTTCACAGTTATCTTACTGACAAAGCTCAAGCAAAGTTACAAAAGGGGTACCTCAAGGCTAAATACTAGGTCCTACCCTGTTTACATTATACATGAATGACCTGGGTTCATTGATTAGTAACGGCTCTATTCGTTATTATGATGGCGACACATTTATTTACTCATCACTGCCCTCTATTGACAAAGCTTTGTAGAATTTAAGTCCTGATTTTGTGGCTATTCAAAAGCCCTGAATCCTCAATTTAGGCTTTTACTGAACCCACATAAAACAGATTACATGATATTCACCAGAAGTTACAGTACATCAGTACAATAAATGGAGCTCTAATACAAAAAGTCCCATGTTATAAGTACCTGGGTATCTGGTTAAATGCAAAGTTGTCTTTTAAATTGAAGAACTAACCAAGAAGTCTAAATCTTAATTAAGTTTATTTTATAGAAATACACAGTGTCGGTTGCAGATTGTAAAGGCAGTATTTTTTATCAGTACTTGACTATGCAGATGTGATTCACATGTATGCTGCTGCCCATACCCTCAAGCCCATTGATGCTGTGGATCATACTTCTCTTAGATTTATAACAGGTGACTGTTTTAGAGCCCATCATTGTAACCTCTATGAGAAGGTAGGGTGGAAATCACTTACCACTTGAAGGGAACCACACTCTGTTTTATCTACAAAGCCATCCTAAATCATCGCTTTTTAAACTTAGAAATATGAGATACCAACTCGTTCACAGGAATACATTAACTTGGATCCTCGTAGATGGAATACACTTCAGTACTTAAGTTAGACACATTAATAACCCTAGAACAGTTAAAGCTTCTTTTGAACAAGGTGTCTACTTTGTCCCTGTGGAATGTACTTGCTCTACTGTTTTTTGTCTTGTTTTTGTATTGATTTAATAGTTTTTGTTGTATAACTTTGTATTGTATAATATTCTAATTATCATTTTTTGGGGGGATTTTGATTATGCATCTGCAGGGCACTAGCTTTGTACTCAATTGGTTTTCCCTGATTAAATAAAGCTTATCTGTCAATGTCACAGATGGGTATACAATGGAGTCAGTTGAAAGCCAATCGCGTTTCATAAAGATGCTAAAGGGTGCCTTGTGCGTCAGTACCAGACGCCGAGGGGCATGGCAAAGCGTCGGTATTTGACGCACCGCAACCATGAGATCTCCTGGTCTCGTGTTCACCAAAAAGTTAATTCACATTTCACATGAGAAAATCTGAGTCGAATTACAACGATAGTGCTTATATCCCCTTGTGATATTTACAAATTCATAGTTCTGTAATAACATACAATGCATTTGTAGGTTAATAGCGGGGATGTTGGTGCCAAAGGGCGGGATTTTATGAACAAAACCAGCCTTTCATGCTGCAGCAGTGGCGGTAAAATCATAGGATTAAGAAATGTGTAATGCTCGGGGGGTGATTGTTACACAGTGATCAGAAAACATTGCCTTACTTCTCTCAACTGAAACCAAAATAATCAGTGGTATCCTTGTCCTTTACATTGCTAAAAATCGCAATAACACTAGTAAAGAAGTCAAAGTGTGATATGAAAAGTCAACTTAAAAGACCAACGCTGTCCTCCTCTCGTTCCCCTCCTGTCTTCTCCTCCTCTTGTTACCTCTCGTTTCCTCTAGTCTTTTCCTCTACTGTTCTCTCTTATTCTCTCCTTCCCTCCCTTCTCATTTGCTCTCCCCTCCCTCCCCTCTCGTTTCCTTCCCTTGTTTCCTCCTCTCCTCATATCACCCTCTCCTCTCTTCTGCTCCGTTCTCTCCTCTCTCCTTCTTTGTAAATTCACTTAGAGTTAATTGCTTCCAGCAGGCTTTTCTCTCGGTCTGTCACGCTGCCCTCCGTCATGTGATGACACTGTGTGGTCTTGTTATCGGGGGCCCGTGGATTGCTGCTGGGCGGAGGAGAGGCCTGGCACACTGCACGTGAACTGGCACGACTGCTTTGACGTGCACTCCAGTGGACCCTGCGTGACCAGGCTCGCTACTGCAGCCATGAGATCCTCTGCATTGTAGAAAGAAGCCCTTCTGCTATTTACTGTTTGGGACTAGAGGACAGATTTCCTAAATGGCTGAGGAAGTTTTAATTCCAACGTCTGGGAAAACCACATCGGTAAGTTCAGACCGCCTACATGACTTGGGTCAGATCCAGAGCCAGGGCCGTCAGCTGACTGATCCCCTATTGTTTTAGACACAGAGACCCAGCAGCTAATAGCATTTACTACCTACTTACAAACGTTCACTGCATACTTGGGATGCAGAGGATCAGTGGCTGCACTCAATAAGACTGTATGAGATTCAATAAAGACCACCAGACATAAAATATACTAAAATCATAAAATGTACTATCACTGTAAAAACTGTTGAATTTTTGTCTCAAACAAAAAGTCAAAGGCAAAATTCTTCAAAACATTCTATAGTTGTTGGGTGAACACTTTTTTGATTGTGAGTCATATACAGAAAAACAAAATGAGTAAAGGTTCTAAACAATAGTAGTTTTCAACCAACTACACTGCAAGAAAACCTGTGTTTCTGGACCAGAAAACTATCGAAATGTGCCATTTGAAAATTAATTTTCTATCTTTTGATAGAAAATTAATTTTCAAATGGCACAGTTCGATAGTGCCATTTCGATGGTGTGATTTAAAGTTTGACATTACAGAAGTTTACTGGTGTGCCCACATATTACAATAGCTATTTATGTATCTGCAGCTCTTAAATACAATTTTAATTCATGTAACACTTATAAACTCCAATACAAAGTTAAAACAGGCAGCAATTGCCAAATATCGGTTTCTATTCATGGCCAAATAGCTCACTTAAAAGATTACTATGTACCGTAAGTGCAAATGTATAAATCTACATGCCTAATATTCGGATTTACAAACAGAACAGCCAGGAATACGAAAACATTGGTTTCCGTACGAAGAGGTTAAAATACAGAACATTTCACTGAATTTAGTTGAAATCATAGTATTTAATAAACAAGGATGTGCAATGTACACACTGCAGTTTATTACAAATATGCTCAACCCATATTGTAGTTTATTTTGAATAATTCATTTGAAAATGATCCGGGGGCCAGAGTTTGGCCACCACAGCATTAGACTGTATAATTTCAGTACAACCGGCACTAAACCTGAAGTGTTATATCTGTAACAGTCAATTTTCACTGTTTTTAACAACTCTTGTGTCAATGTGTTGTCATATCTACTGTGAATAATTTCATCATCAGAAAAACAATTCATTCAAATAAAGTATAATAGAAATATACAAAAGATTGAATTACTTATTTTATGTTTAAAAAAACAAATACAGTAGTGACTCATTCATAATCAAAGATGGATGGGCGCATTTCTGGGCTAGGGTTCTATGTGTGTGTGTGTGTCAGTGTTACCAGCCAGGAGATAGCTGTTCGTAACTAAGTGTTTCACAATCTTTTCCTAAGCCTAATCAATTAATTTTGTTGCCTAACTAAGATTCTCGTGAAGCTGGTAATATATCTAAAAAGAAAGTATGCATGTAACAAGGAGGCGGCGACTCCGGTTGCAAAAATTCAGATTGTATAGAAGTCTATGATAAAATGATCCGACTTCTCACTTGATTTATCACCTCAGTAAACATGAGGTTATGGTCTCAATCACTATTTTCAAGTCTTCTTCATACAGCATAATGTTAATTTAGTAAATTATGTTCCTTTTAGAGTCAAATAGACCATAAAGCGGGCTTACTGTGATTGAAAGGTCTCTGCCGCTAACAGAGCCGTATATGGCGTCCCTACGTCACTCCTCCGCATTCCAAATATGGTAACTTCTGTTCATTGGTTGCAAAAAAAAACCAACATGACGGCCGTATTCCAAGATGGCGACGGCGAAATTGCTGAACTTGAGACTTCATAACTGCCGTCCACAAACCAAGGGTGACGTCACGATGACTACGTCCACTTCTTATATACAGTCTATGTTAACAAGCAGGAAATTGACACGTGTGTGCGATTTTTCCAAAGATAATAACGTACATGTAACCCATTTCCATTTATTTATTCAGATAAATCTCATCCTTCATATTGCTGTCCACAACATTTTAGTCACTTTCATGCCATGTCCCACTTGGTTATAGATTGCAATAAGTCTTTCTCTAGCCGACATCACATTTCCAGGCATTATTCACATATTCTTCCCAAAAACAGGCTCTTTCCTCATAGTCTCTACATTGATATTTTGAAGTTTAGCTTGACTTTTCTTTTCGTGACCAGATACAGGTCACACTGTAAGCAGAAAGGTTCTGACTTTCAGCTCTCTCAGAATTGGCTGCCGGCCATGCTCTTTGGCTTGGCTGTAGAGAGGAATATGAACAATGCAAACAAGAACTTTTTAGATGAGCTTCATTCCTAATTAATACCTTCGCTGTTTAGGAACAACTGACATTTTCTCCTCAAACATGTCTATAACAACAAACATGGTAGCTGAGAAGTTTCTCATCAGAGAACTGAACATTATTTGCAGCTGTGAATGAGCCAATCAATGTGAAGCTTGTTGCCAACAGCTAACAGCTGAGCTTACACAATGCTCAGGGACTCACACATATCGGTCCCCATATCTGGTTATTGGCCAATACATTATGAGCATGTCTCGTCATTGTTACTCAGCCATTAGTAATTGTAATCAAAAACAAAAAATGAATGACTATGCACATTATTTAAAGAACTGTATACAAGCAATTCAACAGTCTTGGATTACAGCCGTCGCCATGTTGTTTTTTTCGCACCAAGAAGACAGAAGTTACCATATTTTTAATGCGGAGGAGTGACGTAGAGACAACAAATACGGCTCTGGTAGCAGCAGCTACATAATGTAGCAACATAATGTACTAAATGAGCATCATGCTGTATTGAAGAAGACTTGAAACTAGCGATTGAGACCCTAAAGTCATGTTTACAATGTTTACTGAGTTAATAAATCAAGTGAGAAGTAGTCATTTTCTCATAGACTTCCATACAATCAGACTTCTTTTTACAACCGGATGAGTCGCCCCCTGCTGGTCAGTAGAGATAATGCAAGTTTTAAGACACTTCCGCATTGGCTTCACTCGGTAGAACCGGAGGTTACCGCCTGTTTCAGAGCTACATTTCCTGAGGTTGTGAGGACCTCGGTTTATAAAAATGCAAAGTCCTGCCCCTTCTGGCGTCCCCCATGGGACCTTATTTCGGAACAAATGTGTACAGCAGTCAACGGCAAGAGACAAATATTTTTTTGATTGCGTTTGAATTGTGCCGTGAATTACTCGTATGATGCTCGTCAATTTATAAGACCATTAGGCACATCTCATCTCACATGTTTGTCATATATTTGTCGGAGGGTCATTTAGATTTTGTGTGAAACAGATCAGTGAACTACTTTTCGTCTTCTACTCGTCTCTCGCAATGCGCTCTTATCACCGACAATTATGTATTTTATCCAGCGACTCTTTTTTATCAGCGGGGAAGCGAAAGAAGGAGCAAGACCCGTTGTCCTGGTACAAACACACAGGCATCTTAACTTCAGCTGGAAACGGCACTTTGGCGACTTTTATAGTCATTCTAATTATTTATTTCAATTATTCCAATTCAAATGGGATAAAATAATTATTTGTCTCTCTTGACGACTATATTTTATCCAAAATAAGATCCCACAGTGGTCAATCGGAAGGGGAATTTGCCTCACTATGTGGAGAGACTGCGATCACTTTTTCCAACCAAACTATTACATTTCTGCTGAAACGTTATATTTTCTCAAGCTTATTGTGCTCAATGAACATCTTATAAGCGCCTACTTCTCCTAGCAAGTCCTGACTGGTTGGGACACATCTAGAGCTCTAGATAGGTGTCATTTCCTTATTTAGTAAAGTTCAATAAATGCCTTTACTCATAATCCTAAAAGTAGGACTCACTTCTCCCACCACTCTCCGGATAAAACTTCCCTAACACATGTCTGTGTCCTGCTGTCTACAGCAACTGACTGGCTCCTTGTTGGCGGTGGCGTTCCTTACCTCCTTTGGGAGCTCCATGCTTTACGGCTACAACCTGGCTGTGGTCAACTCCCCTGCTGTGGTAAGACGCATGTGCACACACACTCACACATGCACCCACACAAATACTATGACCTTAATTTACATGCAGATCTCCATTAAAATAACAAAGAATAAAACATGACTAGAAAAGAATGCTCTTATCAGTCATTATTACCATTTCCTGGAAACACCTAATTTCCAAAGAACGTGTTATGAATGTTGTCGTTCATTTCTGATATTTAAAAGATGCTGAAAACCTATTTTCTGAATTCTGGCACTCTACAATGTTCTGCCATAATTTGGTTATTTGACATCTTTTCTGCCCTGGTTGGAAGTGGGCAGAGCTCAGCTGGAAAATGGTGAAGTCAATTTACTCCATGCACCCATCAGGAGTTAGCAACTGGATCCAAATGAGATGACCTTTTGTGTGTTTTTTTCCTTAAGAGGCCAGATGACTGTCTCGCTGTACTAAGAGCAAATACATGATATATAACAAATATTGTTGCTTATTTAGTAATGAACATTCAATATCAAGATTTGTACGCTTGAATTGAGTAAAAGTGCGTTGTTGTACCACTCATAGTAAAATAGTTTTTTTTGATATGACTTTCAATATTTGGGCCGAGAGTATTTTCAATAACAGAAAGATCAAAATGGAGCCCCCAACTCTTACTGTATGTTAACAGGAAACTCGGGACATAGCTTTTTTTCAAAAATAAATGCCCAAGAAGGTAACTTTATCTTAAAAGGGGACACAAGACAACACTGTTTTTGCTTTTCAAAATAAAAGCCACATAGAGTAAGTCTATCCTAACAGGAAGCTTAGGATATAGGATGCGCACCAAGGACCAGGCAAACTCAAAATTTCTTGCCAAATGTTTTGCGTTATTATACTGTATTATGCCACAATGTTTTGCAAGACACCCATGAGTCAAGGAGAATGGAGAGAAACTTCTTCTGTGTGCATGTGATTGCGTGGCGATGGTTGGGAGTTTTGTATGCCAAACCTCCAGGAAGAGCGCCGGGCTTTGAAGCAAATTGTACATAGTGGCTAAACCATGAAACTACACTGCTCTGATCCGTCATGTAATGCCATTGGACCCAAAAAGACCTCATCCCATATACTTAAATTGAGAAAGGGACGTCTGTTTTTGGAGGTAGATCAAATTCCCAGTACGAACACTTTTGCTTCTTCTGTGGTTGTATCGCCTGATGCTGTTGTCTGCTACTGCCCAATGCTTGTGTGACAGTCTGCATTTCTTCAAATAATGCTTGTTGTCACATGTAATTCTTGTTCTGACTGTATGCCAGTAATGGGTGTGTTGAAAATGTTTGGATGTGTTTTGCTGTCTTTTTAACTTTTGATTTGACATCTTTAAGCCCCTACCCTATTCAAGAGACTTTCGCCATTGTAAATAAGACTTTGGATTCGGCTTTTGGTGCATTGTGCACAGAGATATTTTTCTTCCTCCGTTCATGTGAATGAGACCGAGGGCTTGGAGGCGGGTTAAAAGGAAGCTCTAGTGCACTTCCTTCATTGGCTCATGGATATGGACGATAGCTTGAAGATCTGTGAGATTTTGTCTGCATTTTACTCGTGGAACGTCCAACTTTTTCACTTCATGCGCTACTGAGCAATTTTCGTAGGAATGAATGGGGACCCGCCTTCGTGTGTGTGTGTCGGGGATGCTTGTTGTGATGAATGGGGACTGCATGACATACAGGACTTTAAGGAATGCGGTTCCTGGCCCAGTCACTGAAGATAAGTGGTGGCTTCTCTTTGTTTAGAGAAAAAAAGACAGAATATAATGATCAGTATAGTACATTTTCACTTACACATAAAAGTGAAAAGTGTTCCAGAGGGTTAACTATCCTAAGACATGATATGTACTTACACCACTTGCTATTAGAATGAAGTTAAACAATGATTAATTAATTTCAATCACTAAATAGAATGGTCATGTGTATTGGAACGCAGACATAATTACTAAAATGTGTCAGCATCTATCCGTATTTGATCGTGTTCTCTTTTTGCATTGTGTTTCTGTACTTAGTTGTGCGTTTCTATTTGCAGCATGTTTCTGTAATTGTTTGTGTGTTTTTTTATTTGCAGCATGGTTTTGTATTTGGCGGTGTTTTCTCTATTTGCAATGCATTTTTGTATTCGTTTGTGTTTTTCTCTATCTGCAGCTCTGTGTTATTGGTGAAGATGTTTTCATAATTTGCTTGTTTTTTGTCTATTTGCATGTGTTTTATATATGATCATATCAGCTAATATCAAACAGCTGGCAATGCTAATGATATTTTATCCCAAGTTAAATATTGGTAGGCCTACATTTAAGCATTTACAAGGGCTTATTTGTAAAGATTTGACCCTTGACATCACATAGCACTTACGTTTTCCCAGTTATTTTTTCTCATGCTGTTTTTGGAAGCAGAATACCAATCTAATTCAGTAATGTACCTACTATTTTGTCATCCTACTATTGGGGATATACCTTTTCTCTCACATCACTACTAATATCCAAAAGTTTTGTTGAAACTAAAATGTGCCTGGTTATACTTTACCATGGAATAAAAGAGCCCTTCTGATGTCTTTGTCTTTAAAATTAGGCTTTGAACAGAGACCAAGTCACATGCATAAAAGCTTCTAGTTGCACGTGTCTTCCTCCTGCAGTTGGGGATATTGATGCTGGTCCACTAACTCGTGCCTTCACATGGTAAACTGATTAGGAGGCTGAGGTCAAAAAAAGATTTTGGGATTTGATTAAAGCTGAAAATGTGCAACTGAAAAAAAGAGAGAGATAAAGAGTGTGCTAGTAGGCTACTGGTCTCGTGAAATAAGGCTATCTTGGCCACATGATAAAACATGGTTTCCTGTCTTACCAGGAAGGAATGCCCTCTGTTTGACTCGACTAGATAGAATTGACTGTATCATCTTTAATGGCGCTTCTGAGGATTAACTTTGTAGTTAATTTTACCAGTAGTAGGTGGCGGAATGAGCTAACCAGAGATGCACATATTTTCCAATTGCATATGCAACCGTCAGTCTTATGTATCTTCATACAACGTGTATCTTCATACATGATATCCTAAAAAGTTACTCCTCATTTTTCGTACTTTACTAAGCGGAGGAAAAAAAACTAACCAGGATTCCCTTAGTAGTGGCGAGGGAAGAGCCCAGCGCCGAATCCCCGACCGATGGGTGGATTAGGGAAATGTGGCGTATGGAAGACCACTTGCCAGGGGTCCTTTCAGTCGAGGCTCAGCCCGTGGACGGTGCGATGTCGGTAACAGCTCCCGCTGCACCGGACCTCGCCGCTTCCCGGGGCCTTGGACTAAGTGCTCGCTCCCCCCTCTCTCCTTGCAGGGAAGGACAGGGCTCCCGGCGCGACTGTCCACAGTACGCCCCAACCGCGTTGCATCGCTAGGGCGGGGATCGGCTCACGTAAAAGGTGTCAGGGGTTTGCGGTGATCTCGGCAACCCACCTGACCCATCTTGAAACATGGACCAAAGAGTCTAATACGCACACGAGTCAGAGGGTGAAGCAAACCCTGTGGTGCAAAGAAAGTGAGGGCCAGCGTGCCGGCTGAGGTGGGATCCCAGCCCCGCGGGGATAAAGAAAGTATCTATCTCAATAAATATTATGTTCTTTATCACTGAGGTCACACAAAATACTTAACTAATGACTAGTAACTACCTGGATTAATCATGAATTGCAGGATTAATACACATTTATAAAGCACATATTAACATAAATCCCTAGTGCATATCTAAATCATTATATTTATATAAATGCATGAATAATGTACATCTTCTTAATCATTTACTTACACTTTAAAAAAAATGTTATTAATCATCTACAAGTCCTTGATAATTGGTTTATAATATATACAATACTTCATTTACAAATGGGGAATCCAACATTTATAAAGTATGAAAACAATCACGAAACACATAATAGACAAGCTTATTAAACTGTTGCATACTAATGAGTGTTAATGTAGGAACAATGCTTTATAAATGATGAATTAAGTGTTTACTAATGCTTAACTAATGCTTCATAGTGTAGTTATTATAAAGTAATATGTGGGATCCACTGTTATACGAATCTATAACTATATATTAAAGAAATAAAAACAGTATAAACTATTTCAAATTATTCGCTTCATTCTACTCGGTGGTTAGTAGTAGACTAACTTTCTATTTATATTGTGAAGTTTGAAGAGCTTTTCTAAATAAACACATGGCCTGTTAATTCCAGCTTGTTATATGCTTGCTAGCACTGGCACACTGAAATAGGAAGTTGTTCCTATTTATTTCTTAATTCTTATTCAACTGTGATCTTTGTCTCTTTCAGTTGTCAGTCTGGTTGAACCATTGTAAAAGCATAAAAGAACATTCAGACGTATAAAGTAGTTCTCTCTGACTGGACACAAACATGCTTTTGTGACAGGAGATTCTAAACTTTTGAACAGTACTGTATGTCAGTCCCTATCCCGATAATTAATCAAAAACAGCTTATTTTCCACATGTTCTGATTAAAGATCATCCTGTTGAAACAGGAGAGGAGATAAAATATTTAGGGAGCTTTTTTGATTGCACTTCAAGTAAAGCAATGCGGCGCTTGTATCTAATCAGGAAATTGGACCCATTCGCTATAGGCAAGAATATTTTAGAGACTGCTGACGGAAGTGTTGTTGAAAGTGTTTTAACTCTTAATATGTGTAAGAACCAAAATAGATGGTCCAGAATTACAAATATCGGCGATAAAATGATGTTCAAAAACCGATGGGATGTATATATAAAACAAGTGAAACTAAGTTATTGATTATTATTAATTCATCTTTCATTCACACATCAGGAACGATGACGGTTTATCATTATTTCTGCCACCTTTCACACCACCTTCCACTCCTGACCTCCCCTACTTCCTGTCTCTGCCATCCCCTTACTTCTCAGTACATAAAGGACTTCTACAATAAGACGGCACTGAGTCGTAATGGAACAGGACTCACTGGGGAGACCCTAACCCTCATGTACTCTCTCACCGTGTCTGTCTTCGCAATTGGAGGTCTGCTGGGCTCCGTCGTCGTCGGCATGCTGGTCTCTCGCTTCGGCAGGTAAGGAGAAGATTCCAGATTCTAGACCAGTTCTACACTAGTCATGGTTTGTTTCCTTTATTATTAGATTATAAACTAAGCAATACAAAATTCAACACATAGGGTAATGATAATTAAAAAAAAGAGTACTCTCTTTGTCTTCTTAAAGCACAGGAGCCATTCTAGTCCTCAGAGTAGATTATATTGAGTGTGTTTGTGAGAGCCATCGTGTGCGTGCTCATGAGTTTCTGACGGGGGATTTCCGGCAGTTCAGGGGGAGAGAAAAAGTCACAGAATGCTTAAAAAAAAATGGACGCCTGAGCTATAGCCGTTCAAACTAAATTGTCATCACAAACAAAGCATTATTTATCTACATTTATGTATTAGAGCATTTGCAATAATCACTCCAAATCAGCAGGGGGAGGTGCATGGAAACGGGTGTGAACTTCTTTCTCCCTCTCTTTCTCCCTTATTTCTCCGTTCTCCAATTCCATTTCATCCAATGGAGGATAAAATGCAATTGGAGCCAAAAGTTATATTTACAACCACAAAAAAAGCAAGCAGGCTAACTGTTACCGGTTCCGTCTTTCGATCTCCTCCGCTCAGTTTCAGGACTATGGACAGTGCCTCACCTACTCAACAGCTCCTCCTAAAATTAGCCATACTCGGTACACCATTTCACAGAACAAACCCACTTGCTTAGCGGGTAGGTTTACAGTGATGATGTCACGATGTGTGTGTGTGTGTGTATATATGTGTGTGTGTGTGTGTGTGTATATATGTGTGTGTGTGTGTGTGTATATGTGTGTGTGTGTGTGTGTGTATATATGTGTGTGTGTGTGTATATATGTGTGTGTGTGTGT